CAACCAACAACCAACAACCAACAGCCAACAACCAGCCAATAACAAAACAACAAACAGCAAACAGCCAACAGCCAACAACCAACAAACCAACAATCCAACAACCAACAGCCAACAACCAGCAAACAACAAAAACAACAAACAACAAACAGCCAACAGCCAACAACCAACAAACCAGCAACCAACAAACCAACAACCAACAGCCAACAAACAAACAACAACCAACAGCCAACAGCCACAACCAACCAATAGCCAACAGCCAACAGCCGAAAAACAACAAACTGCAAACAGCAGCCAAAAAGCAACAACCAGCAAACAAGAGCTAACAACCAACAGCCAACAACCAACAACCAACAACCAAGAACCAAGAACCAAGAACCAAGAACCAAGAACCAAGAACCAAGAACCAAGAACCAAGAACCAAGAACCAAGAACCAAGAACCAAGAACCAAGAACCAGCAACCAGCAACCAGCAACCAGCAACCAAGCAACCAAGCAACCAAGCAACCAAGCAACCAAGCAACCAAGAACCAAGCAACCAAGCAACCAAGCAACCAAGCAACCAAGCAACCAAGCAACCAAGCAACCAAGCAACCAAGCAACCAAGCAACCAACCAACCAACCAACCAACCAACCAAGCAACCAACCAAGCAACCAACCAAGCAACCAACCAACCAACCAAGCAACCAAGCAAGCAACCAAGCAACCAAGCAACCAAGCAACCAAACAACCAAGCAACCAAGCAACCAAGCAACCAAGCAACCAAGCAACCAAGCAACCAAGCAACCAAGCAACCAAGCAACCAAGCAACCAACCAACCAACCAACCAACCACCCAACCACCCAACCACCCAACCAACCAACCACCCAACCACCCAACCACCCAACCACCCAACCACCCAACCAACCAACCAACCACCAACCACCAACCACCAACCACCAACCAACAACCAACAACAAACAACAAACCACAACCAACAACCAACAACCAACAACCAACAAGCAACAAGCAACAAGAGAAAAAGCAACAAACAACAAACAACAAACAACAAACAACACACAACACACAACAAACAACAAACAACAAACAACAAACAACAAACAACAAACAACAAACAACAAACAACAAACAACAAACAACAAACAACAAACAACAAACAACACACAACACACAACAAACCACAACCAACAACCAACAACCAACAACCAACAAGCAACAAGCAACAAGAGAAAAAGCAACAAACAACAAACAACAAACAACAAACAACAAACAACAAACAATAAACAATAAACAACAAACAACAAACAACAAACAACAAACCACAAACCACAAACCACAAACCACAAACCACAAACCACAAACCACAAACCACAAACCACAACCACAACCACAACCACAACCACAAGAACAACCACAACCACAACCACAAGAACAACCACAACCACAACCACAAGAACAACCACAAGAACAAGAACAGCA